TTCCCAGCTCAGCTACTAAAACCTACCTTGGGCAAGTCACACTCTCTCAGCCTCAGAGGAAGGACAATGGCACACTTCCCCTGAACAAACCTTGCCAAAAAGGTTAAGGTCACCATAAGTAAAAAAAAATTGAGAGCCAGTGTGGCGTTTGAGTGCTAGATTATATGACTCTGGAGACAAGGGTTGGATTCCCAGCTCAGTCATGAAACTCACTACCTTGTGCCATTCACACCCTCTCAGCCTCCAACTGTACCTCCTTCCTCTTCTCTCTGGTGGGAAAAAGGAGGAGGAGGAGAAGGGAGGACAGTGGTACCAGTGGGAAAAAGGAAAAGGAGGGGAGGGGAGGAAAGGGCAGTGGTGGAGGTGCCAGCAGGGAAGAGGAAGAGGAGGACGAAGAAGAGGATGGAGTTGACGGTGGGGAAGATGAGGAAGAGGAAGGGGCAGTGACAGAGGTGCTGGTGGAGAAGAAGAGGAGGGTGGTGGTACAATCGGGGAAGAGGCGGTGGGGGGAAGAGGAGGAGGAGGAGGAGGAGGAGGCATCCACCCACCATGGTGAAGCAATGAGGTAGGCTTTGGGTGGTAGAGGAGGCAAAGAACCATTGTCCCCAACCTCTGCCACCACCCTTACTTCCTCCTCCTCTTCTGCTGCCTGCCCCCACAGACTTGCTGTCCACGGATGCTGGAATCCGCAAATGGCATGTCTGCAAATACGGAAGGCCCACTGTATTTTTATTAATGAACTAGACAGTGTTCCTTCAAACTTCTGGTGAGCTTTAAATAGAACTCACCAAACCTATCTAAGCTTATAGCAAAGTGTGAACACCTATTTTCAGTTCAGAGACACGCTGGCATTAGCAGGTGAGAATATGAAATAATGCCACTAAGCAACTTGTTGTTTCAAAGCTATTACATTTTCAGAAAGATCAGAAAACAACAGTTCAGAAAGGTTTTTGTGGATGGCAGAACAATGAAGAGGTGATCAGAAAGCTATTTATATAGACGAATATATGCATCCAAACCTATACTGAGCAAAAATGTTGGGAGAGTAAAAGACCCTACCAGCACATTAACACAGTACAGTCGCCTCTCCTATTTGTAGACTTCCCATTTGCATCCCTCCTATTTCACAGACAGGAAGCCAGGAGGGACAAAATGGTGTATACGGGAGTGTGCAGCCATTAAAAACAATGGGGCTCGGATATTTGTGATATTTCCGATTCACGGAGTGGGGTGAGGTAAGGGAAGACTGTAGAACTGCTGCTTGCCCACATGTATGTGGCAACTGCTACTTTGACCACTCTAATTCTACCTGTACAGTGAGGTCTTTGATATTATGGTGTTGAACATAAAAATATCAAACTATTCATTTTATAGTCTGTTGCTTGAGCAGTTTGATATAATAAAACTGTGGCTGAAGTTATCACATGCACATAGTCACTACTGTCTTACACAGGAGGATATAGTGACCATCAGAATTACAATGTTACAAAGACAAAGATAATATTTCAGTTGCCACCAGCTACCAAAAAAAAATCAGTACTATTTTACTTATTATAACCATTTATAACCCATTATTCCTACACTCAAATAAGCATGCAAACAAAATCAAACTAAAAAAAACCAAGAGCAACCAAGCAAATTGCAAAAGAAACACCATCAAGACCAAAAGAACAGATACTTTTTGAAGTCCTTTGGAAGGCTAATTGTTGTGTGCCTTCAAGTAATTTCTTATTTAAGGCAACCTTAAGGTGAACCTACCACAGGGTATTCTGGGGCTGAGAATGGGTGACTTGCCACAGTCACAGAGTGGATTTCCATGGCTAAGCATGGAATCCAGTCCTGATCTCCAGAGCTGGAGTACAATGCTCAAACCACTACACCATGCTGGCTATCCTGGAAGGTAATGAAGAGAGATAATTGCAGGACTGGGTGCAGGATTCATTTCATAGTCTTAGACAAATTAATATAAATTCCCTCTTTCTCACCACAACACAAAGAACTGCAACTTGAAGCAGGAACTGAAGGAATGATAGACATCGATGTAATTAACAATAATACTCTCTCAGTTATATGAGTCCCAGGTTGTAAAGTGCTTCACAGTAAGCAACAACATGCTTACTGAATCCAGAAGAAATACTGGCAGAAAATGTAATGGGGGGGAGAGAGGAGGGAGGGGACTGTTACATCTCATACATCCACAGGTAAAATGATGCTACAGTGTGAGATGCCTTCTTCTTCTAATGCACCTTTACGCTGAGTGCACTGTAGTAATGAAGGCTGGAGGATATTTAAGTATGGATTAGTGTTGCAAGCTCCTACTTCTGCAAAAGCAGGTGAGGCCTACTTAGGCAATAGGGTGGCATAAAGGTCTTTTAGATACCATATCAACCTGTCTATCAAGGATGGCTCAAAATGTTCCATGCCTGAAGCAAAGATCGGGGTATATAATTTGCTTATTGATGGCACGAGTATGATCCTTCCCAGATCTTATAACAGGGGTGGGCAAACTGCATCTGTAGACTGGATGTGGAACTTAATAGAGATTGGTTTCAGTATTGTTTAGCATCTATATAGAGCAGGGGTAGGCAACCTTTCCCCTTTAAGGGCGGAGGGACTTCAGCTCCCAGAAGCCTCAGCCGTGTTGGCCAATAGTCCCATGTTGGCCAGTAGCTCCTGGGATTCTGGGAACTGAAGTCCCTCGGCCCTTAAAGGGGAAAGGTTGCCTACCCCTGATATAGAGCAACTGTGGGCAACTGCATGGAAATCAAGTGCACATCCCCTCTGCTGCATATATTGCATTACTTCCTGCTGCCATTTTGAGAGGGACTGCATGGGAAAAGGGAGGTGTTGGGACATAGTCTGGGTTTCTGGGGTGATTGTGGGTAGATTTTCATATGTTTGGGGGATACATTTTATATGTTCTGGGGGCAAAAGGTGCCCCCAAATCACACCTTTTGGGAAAAAAAATAATGGAGAGCTTGAGGGACTTTGGAGACTGATGGGTGACTCTGCGGGTCATAAAATTCAGGTCCTGAGGGTGCATGCATCCCACGGGATCACAACTGGATAGTTTCCCTAATGGTGATTAAAATGGTGACGGGTCTGGAAACCATGCCCTATGAGGAATAACTTAGGGAACTGGGTATGTTTAGCCTGGAGAAGAGACGGTTAAGAGGTGATATGATAACCCTGTTTAAATATTTGAAGGGATGTTATATTGAGGAGGAAGCTCGCTTGTTTTCTGTTGCTCCAGAGAATAGGACCTGGAACAATGGATGCAAGCTACAGGAAAAGAGATTCCACCTCAACATTAGGAGCAACTTCCTGACAGTAAGAGCTGTTTGACAGTGGAACACACTCCTTCGGAATCTGGTGGAGTCTCCTTCTTTATAGGTCTTTAAACAGAGGCTAGATGGCCATCTGTCGGGGATGCTTTGATTTTGAGTTCCTGCATGGCAGGGGCTTTTGGGTTGGATGGCCCTTGTGGTCTCTTTCAACTCTATGTTTTTTATGATTCTAATAACCATCTTCTGTATCCAGCCAGACCAAAAAGGACTGGAACCATAAGAGCAAAATCTGCCACCCCAAATCAAGAACTGAACTAATCCAAGTTAACAGCAACTGTGAATTGAAACTTGACCAGAGGAAGGGAATGAGGTGCAGTGGTTTGAGCACCGGACTATGACTCTGGAGACCAGGGTTCAATTGCCTTCTCAGCCACTGGGTGACCTTGGACAACTCACATGCTCTCAGGGGAGGCAATGGCAAACCTCCTCTGAACAAATCTTGCCAAGAAAACCCCACAATAGGTTTGCCTTAGGGTCACCATAAGTCAGAAATGACTTGAAGGCACACAACAACAAAGTATTGCATCAATGCATTATGTTGTTACTTTTATTTCTGGAATAACACATTTGTAAAAATGAAGATTTCATGAAGAAAGTGGAAAAATATCCACCCCACAAATCACCAACTATGGTGATTTGGTTGTTATCTGCCATGGTGATTGCCTTGGTTTTTAACTCCATCCCATTCCTGGTCATTTCTAACTTTTCTTATTTCGTTGCAAATTAAAATAAACTTCCCATAAAGAAGTAAAACATGGCTAATAGCACCTCTAAAAACTCCCTGTAAATGCAAATAGTCTTGCAAATGTATGTATTCTTTGCTTCCAGGGAAAATAGTGCTTCTAAACCAGGGGTCCCCAAACTACAGCCCGCGGGCCAAACCCGGCCCGTCGAGGCCTTTCAACTGGCCTGTGGCCGGTCCTTCCTCTGGTGGCACCGCCACGCGCACGACATGGGGCGCCATTTTGTGTTTCGAAATGGCGCCCAGCATCGTGTGCACGACTCCGGATGCCATTTTGGAACACAAAACGGGGCCTGAGTAGTGCGCATGCGCATACGATGCAGGGCATCATTTTGTGTTCCAAAATGGCATCTGGAGTAGTGTGCATGCGCCCGGCAGCACACGCACATGTGCACTACTCTGGTGTCGTTTTGTGTTCCAAAAGGGCGCCCGGAGTCATGTGCATGCACCGCAACGCCGGGTGCATGCACACAATTCCAGACACAATTCCGGAACACAAAACGGTGCCCGGCGTCGCTCACGCATGTGTACTACTTGGGCGCCATTTTGTGTTCCAAAATGGCGTGCGACGCCGGGCACATGCACATGACTCCAGACGCCATTTTGGAACACAAAATGGCACCTGAGCAGTGCGCGCGCGCACACACCTCTGGCCGCGATTTTTTTTCCTTCAGCTCTCTGAAGATCTGGGGGACAGAGAACCGGCCCCCGGATGAAAAAGTGTGGGAACCCCTGTTCTAAACTATTCTGAAATTGTGTACACTATTGTTTTTGTTTGTTTGTTTGTCTGTTTGTTTTTTTGGCTAAAAATAATGATGGAGAGGTCATTTTCACCAACATAGCAACTTTGGTAGGGCAGTCCCACAAACTGAAGTTGCCCACCCTTGTCTATGCATTGAAGTGCATCCTTATTTTTTTCTTCACATTCAAAAAACGTGGATTCAATTTGAAAAATTCAATGGAGTACTGGCCATTTAGGAAAAGGTAAGGAGTTTTCACAGTCAAACAAAATCAATTTCTTGGGCATATTTTGCATTAATGTTTTTATCATTAAAACAGTCTGGAAAAATGTAGAGATAATTCCTTGATTTTTCTCAAAAGTGAAGATGTAGTTATATTTACTGAAGTGCACATTTATAGAAAACAACATACATATTATGGTACCATTTAACATCTTTCCATCCCAGACTGACATCAGTAATTTTTTCAGTTAATTATTGCAGCATTGCTGTCTAACCCAACTGAGCATTAAGATTTACATGGTAAACACCTACTGCATTCGGAACATTTTCAAAGGTATAAGCAGCAAGAGGTTATAAGAATAAGTGACAAGACAGTATGACAGTACTACATTTTTGTTTCTTGTGCATATTACAACATCGAAGTAATTGATCGATAGTTTACCAAACCAGAGACAAAAGAAAGGTGAAGATCTGTTAGGGCAGCAGTGCTGTTGTGCTTCTGCTTTTGTAAGTAGAGGCAACCAGCAACACTGCTTTGGCCTTAAATGCCCCTGTGCATGTATTTAGACCCGGGGGGGAAGTTTGGTAGTAGAAAATAAGATGCCTGAATGAAATGAACTTTCATATTCTGTTCTGCTTCGAAATAAGCTCATAATCCTATAGCTGTGCACTGGTTTATTACTCCATTGTGGTAACAGGCTTATGCCTATATAGTGCCCTTCAACAAGTTTTCAACTATCCACAGTTTATCAATGGTGTACTGCACAAATAATATGCATGAAGGTACATAGATACAGCCTGTGTATACTATACTCTTACTACTCTAGTATGATTATTACTTAGGCATTTTTTCTATAAAAAACTAGATAATATTTTTAAACTATTTTCCTCAATTAAATTTTGAAACTGCAAGTAAGGTCTGCTTTTTTCTTTTTATTTACATAAAACACCCAGTAATTGTACTTTTTGATACAATGCACAAATCATTACTGCTATTATTATATTAAGTAAAAAGAGACAGACTTGGTACTAATTATGTAGGAAGGAAAAGGAAAACATATAAACAGATTAGTAATTAATGGCTATACCATTAAGTCTAATATCAAAAGACATACGTACAATGAAACCAATAAGCACAATGAAAAAGGAGACATTCTTGTATGTTGTCTCAGATGCCTACCCAAGTCAGCTTGACAAGTGTTTCTCATGTGAAGAATGCCCAGCAACACATTGATCCCAAAGTTTTCAACTGTTTTGTAATGTGGTGAAGATAAGACAGCAAAAGTCCTTTCAAAGTTGCGAAGAGACTTCTGACAACCTTACTTGTCCATACATTTGGAAAAGGAAGGACTCCATATCTCCCAGTCCCCTGCTCACACCAAAGGATTTGGTGGAACAAAAATAATGGTTGTTAATATTAAGCTAGCTTGAATCCACCACAGTGTGCACAGTTGATAAAGAGTGACCAGACAGTAGGAAACAACTTCATAATGACTGCATACATGTAGCTCTATTGTTACAAATATGGAGACAAGTGATTTTGATGGAGTCAAAGATGTTTCACACCCATCTACCATAAAGCTAGAGAACTTAGTGTTGCCAATAGGGGAAAGATGGTTTTCATTGTGTAAACTTCTTAAAATTTGGTGGCGCAGTGGTTAAATGTCTGTACTGCAGCCACTCACAAACCACAAGGTTATGAGTTCAATACCAGCCAGGGGCTCAGGGTAGACTCAGCCCTGCATCTTTCCGAGGTTGCTAAATGAGTACCCAGCTTGTTGGGGGCACTAAAGG